AGATTTATCAGAGTCATGTATTAGAGTAATTCAAATCAAATAAATTCTCCTCCCTCTCCTAATCATCTAAAGAATTCCAGCTGTGGAGGTCTGGCTCTAGTATCTAAAGTCATAACTTCTCATTGTAGATGCTTCTAATAAAAGCTTCATAGATGATGCATAACATGTTTGCAGATCCCAAAAGGCAATCCCTCCCTTTTTATGGGAAAAAATGAAAAATTTTCAGCCTGAAATTACCTGAGATGCATTTTAACATAAAATTTTCAATTGATTAACTTATTTGCCTCCTTAGATTATTTTTTTCAATGTTTTACTCAATCACCTCTTTGATTTTTAAATAATTTTACTTGAATTAAGGAATAAGAATAGAGGGTTTGGTACAGTCTCTGAACTCCCTTTCACTCTTGTGTCAGACTGTGCATAATCCCTACTCAGTAACAACCATGCCAGTCCTGGGAAAAATCTGGAAGTGAACAAAATTTCTCTTTGCTTTGTCTGTTTGACCTTTTGGTACTCTGTGCTCATTCCATTTTTGGGGTGGGTGCCCATACCACATAATTCAGTCTTCCATGACCAGGCTGCAGTAGGATTTCCTGACATCTCAATTTTATAAACTTGTTTAAAACTTTTTGTCTTGTGACATGTAATGCAAGTTTATACCTTGCACAATTTGTATGTGTATATATACATATAGGGAATCTGGCCCCCAGGGCAAAAAGCACATAATGAGCCCTGGGAAAGCCTCAGGAAAAGAGCACTCACGAGCAGAAAAAACCTTCAAAAAAGAAATTCATTGAGGGAGTGTGTTGGGATGGTGTCAGGGAGAGGTTAGGAGAGAACATGGTGAAATCATGCTGGGGAGGAGGTCACGTAGGGTATGGTTGCTTGAAGGAGGAAATATAATGTACTGATAGTCTGTTATTTTAAAGAATTATTTTCAACAAATAGATACTAAGCACAATGATTTCTACCTGTGGAATACAAGTGCTGCCAATGCCCTCTATATTTCAGTGGTATCTTGCTCCAACTGGCTTTTCCTTGATCTTAATACATACTTGTTGAATTGAACTGTATTAGGTATGCAGAGAGCTTATACTAATCGAAACAGTTGACTTAGAATTCTCAGGAATGTACTTCTTAGTTTTTGTACAGTTCTGGGTAGAATCAAAGATTTGGAGTTTTCTTGGCAGAGACATGGGCGTGGTTTTCCATTTCCTTCTCTAGCTCATTTCACAGACGAGAAAACTGAGGAAAACAGGGTTAAGTACTTGCCCAGTATCACACAGCTAATGTCATAGAGTCTGGACTTGAATTCATGAAGATGAGTCTTTCTGACATCAGACCCTGCACGCTATGCAAAACACCACCTATGCCCCCAGAGGACACACCAGACCTTTTCTCATATATTATATATGGTGGTACCCAGGGATTGGTAGATAAGTTTAGTCTATGGTTAGATAACTCAGCCATAGGCTAACCCACAGTCCATCATTTCTCTGCTCCCCAGTGGTCTGATCAATGTCTGCAATCTGGAGCAGTCCAACATCCCGATGGCTAAACAGGTAGATAGCTCAAGGAATGCTGATGTTTCTGTGGTCTCCCAGGTGACTAGTGTATGGCCACACATACAGATGCAGATCCAAAAGTGGAAAATACTCAGGAGACTGAGAAGACTGACCACATTACTACACCATTGTCATCTCACCTCATCTCTTCTCACACAGCTCTGTCTGCAAGGCACCGTGCACTGGGCCCTTACAGACGATATTAACATTTGCTCTGCTTAAACAATTCTCTTATTGCAGTCCCAGTATGGACAGAAGCTTGTGGGGCTGTTGCTGGAGTTCTGTATCCCTCTTTCTCTTCCTTTTCCCCATCCCTCTGGATTGCACTAACCACAAATCACCCAAGTAGAGAGTCACCATTTAGTCCTTCAAATGGATTTCCTTAAAACTTCTCTCCCTACATAATATGAAATTTCACATTATATTCTATCTTTAGAATTACAGATGAGGAACTGAGGCTAGAAAGATCGAGTGACTTGCCTATTTGCAACACACATACTTGTAGGAAGCCGCAGAGCTGGGATATGAGCTGAGGTTCTCTGACTCCCAAGCCAGTAATCTCTTTTCTATCATTCAAAAAGTATTTTCTTTTTAAATTAAGTACCTACTATGTGTCAAGCCTTGGACTCAGCACTGGAGTTAAAGAGAAAGGCAGAAATGTGGTCCCATATTCCCTCCCCTCAAGGAACTTACATTTTAATTGGATAGACAGCATGCAAAAAGAATAAGCTGTACAGAGGGCAAATGGAAGGTAATTACAAATAGAAAATACTAGTAGTGGAGGAGGTGAGTGGAGAGTAGACTAGGAAAGACTTCTTGCAGAAAGTGGGATTTGATCAGTCTCAAAAAAAGTCAAGGTAGCCAGGAGCCATATGTGAAGAGAAAGAGCATTCTATGCGTCAGAGTCTGGAGACGGAATGTCCTGTGTGAGGAACATCCAGAAGGCCAACGTTGCTGAGTTGTAGAGAACGTATATGGAAGGGAGTAAAGTGTGAAAAGATAATAATGATAGTAATAATTATTAACATTAGCAGTTAGAATTTGAATAGTACTTTAATTTTTCAAAGCATGAGGCATGTTATGTCATTTGATCTGGATATGTAGGAAGGGACCAGTCTGTGAAGGGCTTTAAAAGCCAAACAAGATTTTATTTTTGATCCTGGACACAATAGGGAACCACTGGAGTTTATTCAGTAGGTGATGCAATATGGTCAGATATGCACTTTAGGGAAATCATTTTGGCAGCTGAGTAATAATAATAGCTCCTGTTCTCTAGGAGACCAGTACCTTCTAGGCTGTCTTCTGGGTCCCCAAGTTTTCATTTATAATACAGACCCAGATCTGCTTTCCTACAAGTTCCCCTGGCCCAAAGTTACTTCTTATACTCCCCACCTCCATCAAAATTCCCATTGCCTTAGTGTTTAGGATTTCAGTAAGATGTAAAGAGGGAAGCAATCAGATTAAATTAATCCATTTTAAAATGCAAATTTCTGAAAGCTGTTCCACCCCCTCTTACTTGCCCAGGGTCACAAAACTGTCTAAGACTGTATTTGAACTAAGGTCATCCGATTCTAGTCCCAGCACTCAATCCGCTGGGTCACCTAGCTGCCTCAGAGGTCAGAACAGATATCAATCGATTCAATCAATTAGAGCAGTGATCTAAGTATGAAAAAGGCCTGAACAGCACAAGCTAGTCATTTCAACTAGGTTTGAATACCCATTTCTCTTCATTGGTTGAGACCTGGTCACATTCTGTGGGGCACATATAAAGCAAGAAAACTGGTTTGGAATAAACAAAACAAAACAAAACTGAGAGTCCATTAGATTAGTGATGGAAGCCTCTAGCCAAGCCTCTGAGAAGGAATTTCTTGGGTGGCAGGAGAAAGACCTTGGCCTTGGCCTTGGTTTCTTTCACCAACTCCCCCATTCCCCTTTCCTTGACCAGAGAAAGACCTTGTGAATCTTGGATCACCATATGGTTAGGATTTTAAAAAATCTATATCCTTGCAGTATTACCATGATGGCAGTGTCTTCATTGGGAACTCAGGGCAGACTGGATGCAATGAGTAAAGATAGATTAAAAGTTCTTCAAGGAATCCAATAGAAATGCTAAACATACAATGAACTTCATGAGTACCCACCCCCAAGAGAAGAAAAGAACTTCTAGCATCTATAGTCTGTGATCCCTTGGCCACATCTACTCTAAACCTCAGCTCACTTTCCCCTGGACTCTATATGTATTTGTGGAAAAGTGTCACAGGCTTTTTTTTTGGGGGGGGGTGCAGAGATTGGGTAGAAAGAGAGTATTTTGTGCCAATTATAACACCATAGTAAATGCCTGTTTTTAAAAAGTGAATTATCTGACTGACTGACATCAATTGATAATCATGGAGGGAAGCACACTTTTACAGACTTTTGAGATATAGCATTAGGGGAAAAACAAAACAAAACAAAACCCTAACCCTCAGGGCTACTCAAAGAACTCTAAAATGACAATTAGCCACCTGAACTCTGGAGACCCCACCCCTGCCCCTGCCACCCACTAGTTCCAGTGAGTGTTGGAAGATCTGCTCTAGAGTGAGTGCTATGCAGGAAATGTTTGATGTAAAGATCTGGTTTAGGCTGGGTGTATCACTTTTGGGTATATCACTTTTGATCTGAGGATCAGCTGCCTTCACTCTAGAAAAGCTCATCAAAAAGAGATTGACCAACAAACTTTAGGTTTCAAGCTTAAATTTGCACTAAGACTTTTGGGACACCTGATATAGAAGACACTTAAGGAATGGAACCTGCTCTCAGAAAGCTTATAAACTTGAGGAAAGGAAAGACTTGAAACCACTGCTGGAGGATTAAATGCTAACTGCATGTGTGGTATTATCCATAAAGCAATAGAAGCTCAGAGATCAGAAGTATCAGTGTGAGCTGAAGTACATGGAGACCTAAGTTAGGGTCTTATAAACTATGTAGGCTTTGGATAGGAGACAAGGCAGCAGTTGAGGTGGGAATGAAAATAATGCATTTAGGGACCATGGAAATGATAGTAAATACGTTGGACATTTTAATACAGCTCTTATTTTATGCATCTGGGATTTCAATGGTAGGCATGCATACTACAGGGGTGAAACCTATGTCATTTATGAAAGTTAGAGTTAGGGTCTCATCCAAAATAATCATGACCATCATCTGTTTTCTTTTTATTGATACATCTGGTGAAAATAGAGCTTCTAGCCACTGCATTAAACACTGATGCACAATGGATTTTCCCTAAATTGTATACTTGGATACAGAAAAATGAAGCATGTCAAGGCCTTCCAACATCAATTTAAACAAATAGGCCTTCAACCAGATTTTGTCTTGTGGACAGGAAACCCCTATCAAATTTTGGCACTGGAATATTCTGATATGTTCTCACTACTTTCTATATACTCTCTTTCACTATGTCCTATTGTATCTTCATCAAGCTCATGAAAAGAGTTAATAGCTTCTCTACCTCTATAACTATAAAGAAGTGATAAGTCTTTGAATTGGAAGAAACTGCATAACCTTCGGAAATGTTGTTTAAGGTTAGGGTCTTGCATTTCTTTGGCCATTTTCCTAAATAATATGTAGGTAAAATTAGCCATCCGCTTGATGGAATGATCTTCATCATGGAGCACTTTTTCCATATCTGAAACAAGAAAATTAATTCATCTTATGATCAAACTGGACTCCTCCCATAATAGACCCTTCTGTTATGCTGACTGATTCCAGCCATTGTCTCCTGAGGCTTCCTCGCTTCTGAGTTTTCCCAGGGAACCCCTATGTTGGTCCCAATTCAAGCTACTCTTCAAGCTCTGATCACTGTCTTTGAACCTAGGACCTTCTCCAGTGCTTCAGAAGTGGTTCTTGAATTATATACATTTTGAATTGCTGGCTTCTGCTCCCTTGTCTGGATTTTCCAAGGCTGTAATTTTGCCTGTTCCTACCTACTAGGAGTTGGGCTTCCTAGGCCCCACAGAACTCATCATTAATCCCTGCCATAAGGCTGGATATCCAGGGAGGGACCTGAATCATCTAATTATGGACCTTCTTCAATGGGCTCCTCTCTAGCCCCATTGTCAATCTGTTTGAACTTATTCCTTCATAGTTACTATATTCCTACCCTATAATACTCCCCATCTCAGAGATATTGACTACCTCTATATCCCTCAATAAACCTTGTTCCCTATCTGCAATTGCCTATTCTCTTACTCCCATCCTTCTAACCCTACCTCTTTAAAGTTCAACTCTAGCTTGCTTTCATGTTAAACCCTTTCCTTTCTCTTTCTATCTTTTGGCACTCACTGAAACCTGACTCTCTCCTAATGACAAGGAATCCCTGGCTGCCATTTCTAATACAGCTTGCACTTTCACTTATATTCATTGGTCCTAGTAGTGGGGTTGAATATTCCTCAATCCCCATTGTCACTTCCAGACTCTCCCTTTACCACTCAGGAAGCTGTCCTCCATTGAGAATCATTAGATTTACATTTATACCCAGTCAAGATTCTGGCAACTGTCATCTGCTGACCCAAGGACATTCTCCTTCCTTCCTCAATGATTTCAGTGCTTGACTCAAGCACTTTTTCTCCATCCCAACTCCTGCCCTCATACTAGGGGACTTCAATGCACATAGAGACACTCTCTCAACCTTTCTCAAATGTCCCAGTTCTTTAATTTCCTCATGTTCTATGATTTACCCCTGCAATCCACCTCAGCTAAATAAAGAGATGATCATACCACCGATTTTTGCCATCAACTACATGTATTCCCCTCATGTCCATACACTTCAAAATCCCTTCATCTGATCATAATATTTTATCATTATTTTTCCCTCTGCCTTATATTCCCAAACTCTGATTTTTATATTCGTTGTGATCTATACTTCCTCCATCATTCAGTTCTTTTCCCTACACTGGCTACATTCTCTTCCTCCCTCATCTTCACCTCTTGGTGAACCAATTTAACTTTACTCTTTCCTCAACACTCAAGTCTCTTTCCCACCTTATCTATCACTGATTATGCCTTGCCAAGCCCCAACCTTGGACTACTCCCACCATCTGCTCCCTTCACATACACTCACTCATTGCCAAATAGAGCTGGAGAGACTTGTGAAATCGTACTGACCTGGGTCCACTGCAAATTTGGTACATAGTCTCAACTGGGCTCTCATTGCAGCAAAGCAACCCATTTAGCCTCTTCAATCAGTTAACTATTTCACTCACCTCAGTGAATTTTCCAAACTTTTCTTTTTATTCCTCCTTAGGCCTCTCATAGTTACCCTTCTTCTATCTCCTTAGATAAGAACCTTGCCTTGTATAGCATTGAAAAAAATAATGAGACTGTTTGCAGGAAGCTTCCTCTTCTTTCCCCTCTTCTCATTTCACAGTTGCCTATTTCCACTATCTCTTCCTTCACCCTGTCACACATGAAGGAGTCTTTCTCCATATAAAAGCAGCATAAAGCCTTGACCTTATTCTATCCTGTCTTCTCTAGCACATTTCCTCCTCTATCCTCATCCATTCTCTTACTAATCTCCAATTTCTTTTTGTCTACCAGATGCTGGCTACTGCCTAAAAACGTGCTTTTGTCTCCATCATCCAAATAACAACACCACCTCTCATTTGATCTGAGAGTCTGCTAGCTATCATCCTATTTCTCACCTCCCTTTTGTAGTTAATCTTCTTGAGAAAGCCATTTACAAGAGCTTCTATGTATTTTCCTTTCACTATCTTGATTCTCAGCACTCTGGCTTCCAGTTTCATCATTCAATTGAAATTACTCTTTCCAAAGTTACCAATGATCTCATTTTAAAACTTATTTAAAAGTTTTTTTTAAATGTCAATTTTATTTTACTTTAGTGCACATTCTCTCTCTTCTCACTTCCCTTACCCCCACATAAAGAAAGCAAGAAAAACAATATATGTATAATCAAGCAGAACAAATTATTGAACTGGCTGTATGTGTATATAAATATAAGTATAAACACATACATATATCTCATTCTTCACTCTGAGTCTATTATCTCTCTAGCTACGGGATGGTGGCATGCTTCATCATAAGTCATCTGGAATTGTGATTGGTCATTGCGTTGATCAGAGTGCCTAAGTCTTTCAAAGTTGTTTGTCTTTACAGTGTTGTTGTTGCCGCATACATATTTTTCTCCTGATTCTGCTCACTTGGATTCACATCCGTTCATGCAAGTCTTTCCGGGTTTCTCTGAAACTATGCCTTTCATCACTTTTTTAAAACAGCATATAGCATTCTGTTACATTCATATCCCATGGCTTATTCAGCTATTCTTCAATTTCTAATTCTTATCTACCAAGAGATGCCATAAATATTTTTGCACATATGGGTTGTTTTCTTCTTTCTTTGATCTCTTTGGAGTACAGACCTAGTAGCAATATTCCTGGGTCAAATGACATGCACAGTTTAAAAGCTTTTTGGGCATAGCTCCACATGCTTTCCAGAATGGCTGGACCAGTTCACAGCTCTATCAACAATGCATTAATTTGCCTTTTTGTTCCCCCACGGCCCCTCTACAATTTGTCATTTCCTTTTTTTTATTGTTCACTTTGCTACTATGCCGATCCAATGAGAATAAGGTGGCAACTTAAAAGTTGTTTTAATTTAAATTTTCTCTCTTAGTGACTTAGAACATTTTTTCACATAGCTATTGATAACTTGGATTTCTTTCTTTGAAAACTTTCTATTTGTATCTTTTGACCATAATTGGAGAATGGCTCTTATTCTTAAAGATTTGAATCAATTTCATATATATTTCATATGTGCACATATGCATATATATATATACACACTCACACACACACACACACACACATATATATATATTAGAAATGAGACCTTTATCAGATAAATTTTCTGTGAAGATTTTTCCCATTTTCTTATTTCTCTTATAATTTAGCTGAGTTGGTTTTGCTTGTACACAAACTTTTTGAATGTATGTAATTAAAACTCTCCATTTTACTTCCTGTGAACCCCTGTATCTCTTATTTGGCAATAAATGCTTCCCTTATCCATAGAGCTGATACTTCTGATGTTCCTCTAATTCATTTATTATGTCACTCTTCATGTTTAAATCATGAACCCATTTGGAACTTATCTTGATTAAAAGTGTAAGATATTTTCTACTTTTCCCAACAGTTTTTGTTAACTAGTGAGTTTTTCCCCCCACAGTTGGGATCTTTGGGTTTATTAAACACTAGGCTGCTATACACATTTGCTTTTTTGTACTGTGAATCTAATCTGTCCCACTGATCAACCCCTCTATTTCTGACCAATGCCAATATGGTTTTTGATGATTATGGCTTTGTAGACTAATTTGAGGTCTAGTACTATTGTGCTGCCTTCCCTCAAACATTTTCATTAGTTTCCTTGATATTCTTAATGTTTTGTTCCTCTAGATGAATTTTGGTATAATTTTTTCCCCTGGTTTTATGAAGTAATCATTTGGTAGTTTGATTGATATAGCTTCTCCATCTTTCTTCTACATTCCATTAATCTAATTGTCAAATCTAATGGTTTTTTTTTTACCCTTTATTCTTATTGACTCTTCTACAACCTGTGACATTGTTGATTACCCTTTACTCTCTGATGTTTTTTTTCTCTCAAGGTTTTCATAATCCTACTCTCCCTTGGTTTTGTTCCTATTTCTCTGACTACTCCTTCTTGGTCTTGGTTGTCTGTGGATCTAGCTTGTACCTACCATGAGTATCCCCCAGGATCCATCCTGGACCTTCTTCTCTTCTCCCTGGATTTAATTATCATCTCTATGCATTTAATTCTCAGATTTATTATTATTAATTAATTTATATGATGCCTATTGTGTGCTAGACATTATGCTAAGCACTTTACAAATATTATCTCATTTGATTCCCAGAACAACTTTGGGAGGTAGGTGCTATTATGATCTCCATTTTATAGATGAGGAAACTGAGGCAAACAGAGGTTAAATGACTTGCCAAGGATCACATAGCTAGTTAAGTGCCTGAGGCTGGATCTGAATTCGGATCTTCCTGACACTAGGCCCAGTGCTCTATCTACTGTATTATCTAGCTGCCTGTAGAAGTTATTTATCTAGACTGACTTCTCTCCTGACCTTCAGATAAACATCTCTAAGTGCCTATTGGACATCTTGAACTGGATGTTCTTTAGATATCTTGTATTAAAACTGAACTTATCATCTTTCCTCTTAAATCTTCTCTTCTCAGCTTCCCTGATACTATGGCGGACACCACCACTTTCCAGGTTATCAGGCTTGCAACCTAGGTATCATCCTTGACTCCTAATTCTCTTCTACCCCATACCCAATCTGTTTCAAAGTTCTATAATTTTTACATTTGAAATATCTCTTGTATATGCCTCCTTCTCTCTGACATAGCCCCTACTCTGAAAGCCCTCATTACTTAACACCTGGATTATTACAATAGCCTTTTGGTTAGTTTCCCTGACTCAAGTACCTCCCCAATTCAATCCATCCTTTCCTCCGCTACTAAAATGATCTTCCTAAAGTACCAGTCTGACCATACCACTCTACTCAACAAACTATGATGGTTCCCCCTTTTACCTCTAGTATTTGCTCTACCTAAAATGTTTGTTCTAAGAGCCAATAAATCCCATTTGGCT